GCATTTGAGAAATATATTAGTGATATCAGCAAATACTCTCTCTCACATCATTATTAAATTCCCGTCTCGTATCGTTCCTTCAAATTCATCGCGACGCGCGTAATAATTACCAAATAATATATATTTAATATTATTTTAATTTATTTATATATATCATTATTATAAATTATAAAAAAAAATATATTATAATATATATTATATCCTTTATATAATTATATAAATTATATAATATAATATATATTATATATAATTATACAAAATATATATTACATTAAAATTAAAATATAATAAAAATAAAATAAAAATTATTTTTATAAATTTAACGTATAAGACGGGCAACAAGAGCCAAATCGCGGATGACAATGCGTTATCCTAACGAAACTAAATAATTTTCCGTTAGAATTAAATACCGGTGCACAAGGCACCAAATTTTACTTGGACACGGCCAAGATTTTAAAATATGAAATAATCTCATATTTGAGATTTACTTTCAATACCCCCTTTAACCCCCCTACGGAAAATAAATAAATGAATGCAAGAGAAAAATATAGATCCGAAAATCGCTGAATCGGGAAAATTATTTTAATTTTTGATATTAAATATTTGTAATATTTTTATATTAAAATTAAAAAGATATACTCTATAATTTTGCTGTTTGAAATAAGTTTATATTTTTAGGACATCTATGGGCAGCTTCGGCCGAATGTGAATGACTCGTTTAAAGAACCTACGGATCAACGTCTATATATTTTTCCGGTTCTTTAATTAAGATGGTTTGCGTCCGTTCGTTCGGTGCAACTTCTGTCACCCTAACGGTACCAATGAATTCGTCGGCGGAATCGCGAAATTCGATCTCCCATTCCCTCCCACTTGTATCGGTCTGATTTACGAGGTCGCCGCAAAATTCCCCTCGTTTATTTCTGTCACTCAGCCTGTCCAATTTACCGCACGATTTTCGACACAGTAGCAAGTTAAGGCAAGTGGATGTTTTTTATTCTCCTCCCTCGATTCTTGTAAAACCCATGTTGCACGTCAATTTTATTTTTACGTTGTCCGTAGAAAACATTCGAATTTCCAATTCCTAAATATCGGGAAAATTCTCTTCTGATTTCAGGACGATATACATTTTCGAAAACGTTGCGTGAACTCGATTCTAAATATAAATCGACCGATGAAAGTTTAGTAGCTACTGAAAATTGATGACTTAACGCGCTACTTATTGATTGATAATGAGGAGACTAAGAAGAAGATTCTTAGGCGTTTTCTCCAGCTTTTACTTTACACATATTTCAATAGAAAGCAAAGCTTGACAACATATTGTTTGATAAACAATAACCTGATCTTTCTCTCTATTGATTGAATATCTTAACTTGAGAATTCTCACATTCCTGTTAATTATTTTCGCACTTGACAACTCTGTCAAAGTATTCTCATAAAAAGACACAACTGCGTGTCTCAAATTATATTTCCTACACTATAGAAAAAGTTATTGAATTCGAATAAATATTTATTTGAACACTGCTTAATAAATCATTTATTTGAAACTAATAATATTAATTTGACGTGAAAAATATCTGTTTTTGACATAAGAAAATCCTTTTCAAAATAGATAAATATTTATTTCAAATAAATGATTTAGTAAGCAGTATTAAAATAAATATTTATTTATTTAATAATTAATTATGGCGACATCAAGTGAATTACGTAAGTATCGTTTTCGACAGAAACGCAAGAATTAACTCGGTTTCGTCTTATCGACACATCAGAATAATTCGATGTAATCTAGAAAAGGCGCAGTGTGTAAACCTTCGCAAAAGAAATCATGGATTTAGATAACGTAAGACTTACGAAGTCTTTTATGTGAAACGTCTTCCATTATTTACGCTACTTACTACAATGCAAAGTGAATAAACGAGACAAAGATTTCTATTTTCTCTCTAGGAATTTCTGGATCCACAAGAAAAAGTAATTCTTTACTTCTTGAGCCAGGAATTCCTTGACTTTCCTATCTTTACAAGGTGATTTATATTTCCGCTTTTATTAATCTATCAATCGTACAAAATTTCGATTTTTCAAAAATAAGAAAAAAAGATATTGATTCCTCTTCTTAAATCTTTTCAACAAAAATAATAAATAAATAAATCGATAAAAATAAATAAATAAATAAATAAAATAATAAATAAATAAATCAATAAAAATAAATAAAAAATAATAAATAAATAAATCGATAAAATAAATAAATAAATAAAATAATAAATAAATAAAATGATAAATAAATAATAAATAAGATTTTTATTTTCTCTCTAGGAATTCCTATCTTTACAAGATGATTTATATTTCCGCTCTGGAGACTCTTATTAATCTATTAAATCGTACAAAATTTCGATTTTTCAAAGAATAAGAAAAAAAAGATATTGATTCTCCTTCTTAAATCTTTTCGGAAAAAATAAATAAATAAATGTAATAGATGAAATTAAGAAATGAAGAAATTATCTGCAAAAGTTCCACATTCACACTAATATAGATTACCGAAAAAGAATGCGATAGCGCGTTACGTCATTTCAACTCGTGCGTATAATCATTATAAGCGTATATATAACCTTATAATGATCATGTACCCCTTAAAAGTCGCCGGGACCCTCCTGACCATGAGTGCACTCTGTAATTTTGCACTTTGTAATTACGATTATACCGTAGCTCGTAAAAGTTTTATGCTTTCAACCGCCGTACTTAGTTGCTCTCTTGAAACAAAATGCTCTGTACGAATGTAACATTTCTTCATACAATCTCCGAAATAAGATCATTATCATATAGTTCACTTTTCTTTTATTAAATATCAATTGTGCACATCAAGTTACACGCAGAAAAAAATCATAGAAAATTTTATTGTAGATACACTAAAAAAATTTATTTGTTTTGAAAAGGATTTTCTTATATCAAATAAATATTATTAGTTTCAAATAAATTATTTATTTGGCAATATTGAAATAAATACTTATAACCATATTGTTTTCAGTGTAGATGTGATATTTCATCGCAATAATTAAATTATTAATAAATAATTAAATTGTAGAAATTAATTATTGAATAATAATAAATTAATTAAAAAAAATAAATTATATTAAAAAAATTTCATGTATATATAATAGTCATCATAATAATAGTCATCAAAATAATCATTTTTCATAAAAAAATCGTCAATTACACATAGCTTTCTCTGAAAATAATTAAGTGTAATAAACATTCTACAGACAGCCATAAAGCATTCTCAGTAGCAGGTAGCAGCGCGCGACTTGTGTTTACCCGAGATCTTATTAAGTAAATCTTCCGAATAATCCCACTGATAAAACTTTCAAATCCTGAGCGTCTCATAAATCTTGCTTGCGTTCTCTAAACGTAGCTTTGTGAAACGGCGCGATGCGTATAATTATTCCGTAATTATCAAGCCGAAAACAAAAATCATTTTAAAGACTGGTGTGAGAGAGATCCTGCGGAAGAAAGTAATTAACACTCGTTACTTGCTCGAGCAAACCGGCGTGATTATTTGAAAAACGATCCGACGATCTCGCGCGACTTCAAGTACTTAGTAGTAATTTATTTCGCGAGTTGATTTCATATTTAATATTAATGTGAATATCTCGCACTACTTTCGCGAATATTTGGATTTAGCAGAATAACGCGATATGTAGGATGATTCATGTTAAATCTAAATAACTTTAATAGAAATTATCTATTAATCTTCACGATAAAAAAGTATGATATCACATATACATATATAAATAAGACACACACTGTAGAAATTTATATTAACTTTCTTATCATTTCGAGATTATCTTAAAAAAATTTACTATTTCATTAGATAATAAGTATTAATCAAAACTAAAAAAAGAAAATAAATTTATGTAGAATTATAAAGTATAAAGTGATTAGTAGTTTAATCTTCACGATAAGAAAGTTCATATTATAAAATACAAAAGTAAGATCATAAAAACTTATCGTTTTAAAAATTGATCAAATTCTAAGTCTTCTTATTAGATAATAAATAATACACAGAGAATTTTCTCTTAAAATTTATTCTGAAAATCATGGTAATCGTATAATATTGAAAGAATTTTATAAGAGTTTCTCTGATTAATATTTACTTGTATTTACCATAATAAAAATAATATTTATACCAGAATAAAATATAAAATACGTTGGATTAATTTTACTATTCATATTCTTTATTGTGGTGAATATTTTAATTTTTCCAATACCATATTGTTTCACGATTACTATAATTTTGAGGGTAAGTTAAAAATTCTGTCCGTGTAGAATCTAAATATAAAAGAAAATAAATTTATGTACACACATATTTACGATTCAATAATAAACCATATTAATTATATATGTATATATTAGACAGTGTTGTGCTTAAATGATTTAAAAATTAGCTAGATAAAAATGAGATAAAAAAATGTAAATTATAAAAGAGATATAAAAATATATGTATTCATATTTTCATTTATAAATTTTTATCGCTTACTGCTTGAGTTTTACTATTTAAGTATTTTTATGTGTTATGATTCTAAACCAAAATTATCTGAGAAATATTTTCGATAATTTAGTAAAGATAATATTTTTTTCCATTCAAGATACACATATATAGATAATACATATTTTTATTATCTATATAAAGATGACGCTAAAGTTTTATCTAGTTGATTATCTATAGGCCGATTTTTCCGACTTACCGATAAGTTTTACCTGACAGGTAGCATATTTTCGTCTCTTTTCAGGTAAATTCTAAAAAAGGATACAAAAATACGCTACTTTTAAATTTTATTTAGATAACAGCAAACACTGATTATAGATTAATATAATTTTAGTGTCCCACAATCTATGCAATATTTCTTATAATTACGCTATAAACACAACACGCTTAATATATCCGATCGACAACCTGAAAGATCCAGAACTCATCAAAGCGTTGTGACAACAAACCGGAAAGACCCGTTTACCTGAATGCACTCCGCCATCGATGTCGGCGTCTTCAAAGACGGACGCTTCGACGCATTCGTCATCGGGGACAGGATGATCCTCGGTGGTCTCCTCGTCCTTGAATCTATCACTATTAGCACGAAGATCCGTCTTTTCAACCGGGTTGCAGGAACTATCGACGGACGTCTGTCTTCCGATTCGCACGAGCGTACTGTTGCTCCTCGACAGCTTCGTGCTGTGAGTTCTCCGAATCAGCAAATTCGTGAAAGTCGTGCCCTGCTTGCTCTTCTGCTCCTGATGACCTCGGGAGGACCCGGTCTTCGGAGCCTCGATGACAATCCTCGTCGCAACGGACTTCTCTTCGGCGTTCGACAGCTTCTTCCTGCATCCCGAATCGTCCTCCACTTCGAAGCAGGACATGGTATTGTTCAGACGACTATCCTTGGCTCTGCTTCCGGACTCTTTTCTGCCGGCGAACCTCTGGAATCGTTCAATCGTCTTAAAGGATCTCGTCCTTTCCACCTTCCTCTGTTCACCAGCTTGACCCCCAGCTGGCATCCTGTCGCACTTGGACGCCTCGAAGATCCTCGTCAGCGACTGAACTTTGCCTCTCACCTCGGGCAAACCGGCGCTCTCGTCCGCGTTTCTCCTCGCGGTCGACGAGAAGCCATCGTTGTTGCTCAGGGTCCGTGTTAAGGGACCGCCGTTCGCGGGCGCCTTGGACGTGCTGCCGATCGGGAAGGTGTTGCAGACGAATTTGTCGTTGTCCGCCGAGTGACCCTTGGTCAGTTTGGCGACCGACTGTCGGCTGACAGGAGCCTCGCCGCCGTCCAGTGGCACGTAGAATGTGGACCGCCTCTTGGGCGACTCCTCGGGATCTTCAGCCGTCAGCATGTCTTCGCATCTCTCGAGCAACGGCGCGATTTTTACGTCACCCGATATCGGAACCAGCTGTCAAAAGTCCGACTGTCATCGGACTCTATCGTGACGTTTACAGCGCGATCGATTTATTTGTGATGATTGATAATAAATATTTCCTCTTCTCTCTACGACGTCGAATTTTGATCAGATATCACGTTGTTAACTCGAATTATTGATAAGAACACTGTGCTCGCACTGTTATCGCACCCTGGGTGATACTACGTTTCGATCACTTGACACGAACAATTCTCCCCTTCGATTCATTCCTCATCGTCGCGTGTTTGCGTATCGGGTGTTTCTGCTATGCGATCTGCGTTCGAGATCTCGTAGCAACATCAGAGAGAGAGAGATGCAGGACTCCGGCCTTTGAAGACGCGGATTAATCCCAGAATCGGGTGCACACAATATCTCTTCGAGGTCGCGGTGTAATAACAATGATTACGTATCTCTTTCCTCCTTTCGATCGGATCGGTTTTCCATGACGACCCTTTCGAGAGGTCGCCGTGCACCGACTCAGCCTCTCTTCGGAATCCTTCTTCTGTCCCTTTTCTCCCTCCCGGCACCCGGCGCTAAATATAACCGGACTATCGAGCAGCGCGCAACCTAGGCCGAAGAGAGCGAGAGATGGAGAAAGCTACGACGTACACTAGACGAATATCATCAGCTGACTGATATCGTGAGGCGTTGAACCGTGAACGCGCGACCACTCTTCATCATTTCCCTCGCAAAGTCGAGAAGTATTTTCTCTCTTCCAGCTATATTTTATTTCAACAATAATCGAATTCTTGATGTTGCCAATCAATAATAGAAGAGATAATTTTTTCGACCAATACTGGCTAGTTAATATTTAATTTTTAATAAATCACAATGTTTCGACCGTCAGTTTTGGTCCTTCTCAAGTGTACTTGAAGTTAAAAACAGTGAATATTGTGTCATCAATTTTTTTTCTACTTTATATTATTTTCCATGAATTTCTTTTCGTTATAAAAAATATCGATAAAACACTAGATGCAGATTGCAGGTGCAATTGGTCGAAATTGTTGGCAAAGTCAGAGATTTACGATCGCTCCGGATCAGTCCAGGCGATTTATGGGAGCGGGATTATAAAATTCGTGGGACCAAAAAAAAACTGAATACATTTTTGAAACACCAGAATCGCACGAATGATCACCCGTCATCGATCATACAAGCGACGTCACATCCGGTCCGCATGTTCTCTCTTCAACAAGTTGTGACGTCACTTCGAGGAATCGTTGTGAGTTTGCGAATTCCGACACGTAATAATTTCTTCTTTCCCCGAAGAAGAAGAAGAGGAGCTGATGATCAGCCCAGCATCTCGCGAGATGACGAAGAAGGAACTTTCTTTCGCACCTAGACGCACTTCGGAGAACTTTTAACTCGAGAACTCGCAAGAACTCGGGAACTCGAATTACAAGCGCGCGCGCGGAACTTTTGAACTCGAGAACTCAGGAATTCAGGAACTCGAGAACTCGAATTATAGGCGCACACGGAACTCCGACGCGATCGCGAGTCCTCGAGCGACTGTCGGAGAAAAGTAAGAGGTGTTCTCTCGTGAGTCACGGCGGATCCGGCTCTCGAGAGATCACTCTCCTCTCTCACGATCGGTCCAGACTCGCGCGCGAAGATTGTTTCTCCTTCTTTCTCTCTCTCTCTCTTTCACCAATCACGACCTGTGATCCACCCGCGCGAGCGAGATGGGAGCGCGTTTTTTCTCTACGAGCGCGAGGAGAGCGAACACGATCGACCGCACCGCGGACGGAGACCCGACTATCTGGATCCAACGAGCCGGACCTGATCCAAGCGTGCGCGGCCAGCGCGCTCTGTCGGCGTCGGTCTTCTTTGAAAGGAAGAGAAAGAGAGATAAAGACAGACGGAGACAGAGAGAGAATCGGCGACGAGTGCATGCTATGCTCGACCAGACTTCCAGACTTTGGAAGTGCTTGGTCTCCATGGAATGTAGAGATATAGTCTTCTATACACATAGAATGCCTGGAGAAGGAAAACATTGGACGATGGTTTGAATCGCGCGAGAGCGAGAAATCGAAAATTCACGTCTTTTTTATTTTCAAGACAAAAATAAATTTGAGAAATATGTGATACATAGAGCTAACAAAAAGAAATTATCATATTTTTCTAAAAAAAATGTGATTATTTCCGCGAGCAAAAATAAAACTTGTTTATTTTACTCGCGGAAGCTAAACAAAATTTTTACAAAAAATAATTCTTTCTTAATTTATAAAAATGTTATATAATTTTATCTACCATATATATACACGGAAGGAATTTTCTCTTAGAATTTACCCTGAAAATCATGGTAATTGTGGGATAATATGGTGTTGGAAGAATTTTATAAGAGCTTCTCTGATTAATATTTCTCACAATAAAAATATTAATAGGTACATAGTAAAATTAATCGAGTATATTTCATATCTTATTGTGCTAAATAATAATATTTTTATTGTGATAAATATATTAATCAGAAAAACTCATAAAATTCTTCCAATGGCAGATTGCGCATTGCGCACGATTACCATGATTTTCAGGATAACTTCTAAGAGAAAATTCTCTGTGTATATATTGTAACTTTTGAGCGAGACAGTTCAGAACCAAATTCAAGTCGAAAATAACTCTTGAAAACCGAGAGAAAAATGCAAGAGATGTTGTCAAAAGAGCAAAATTCATCGAATCTTTTGCACAAGTTACAAAGTAGAATTTTCTATTTTTTTTAAATGATATTACAGCTATGTGAAAGCGTATTAAGATTGGCGTTTCTGGTAATTAAGGCACAATGATAAACCCGGAGAGGTATAACTTCAACTTCAGCGAGATATCTTATGTAATCAAGCGCGCTAATTATTATGGACATGCGATGTAAAACGTTTCCATCATTTGGAAGTTTCGATTTACGCCTCCAGGAGATTACATGCATCAAGGAACTATGTGCGCAGCTTCCGTGATATTACACGTAAGCATGATAATATCCGATCGCGCGTAGATAAGAAAAAATAACATTTACAAACAATCTAAAACGAGAAAAAGGTCGCATGAGAACCAACTGTAATCTTGACAACGCGATGATCCTGTGTTTTTTTTTTTATTTTACGATGTTGACTTACTTTACGATGTTATTTCCGATACGGATCGATTTTATGACACGGAGATTATTTCACTGTCTACATCGATGCGGCGTGAATTTCGTGATCTTTAATAAAAAAAAAAAGTGGCAGCGATTTTCTCCGGCAAATTATGCATGCCCGAGAAAATCTCTATGACTCAACCGGATCACGTCTGTAACTGTTTCTTCACCATCCTCCTGCCTCTTTCGCGCCGCTCCATTTCGAAACTCTAGCATAAAACCGATAGTTTATGATCATAATTTTCATTCCGCGAAAACCGCAGAGCCGCCGCGAATGAAAGCGGAAGGAGATAGATGTCAACGACCGATATAACAATGTTACAAAGTTAAATAATTGCTAACTTTTCTTTAATTTATCTAATTAATATTGCACATTTGTGTTAATGATTCTAGATGGGAAAAAATTTTATGTACAATAATGCCTGTATTATTATTTTATATCTTCTTTTAATTTTTATCTTCTAAGGTTCTAATTTTTTTTTATTGTAGTAACTTACACACACTGTAAAAAAAATATGTAAATAATAAATGTAAAATTACATGATAAATAATGAAAAGGTAAACATTTCTATTATTTATCATGTAATTTTACACTTATTATTTATGTAATTTTACATATTTTTGTGTAATATATTACATATTTTTTTACAGTGCAGAGAGAATTTTCTTTTATAATTTACTTTGAAAATCATGGTAATCGTGGGACAATATAGTATTGGAAGGATTTTATGAAAGTTTCTCTGGTACCACAATAAAATATAAAATATGTTCGATTAATTTTACAATGTACATTTTAATATTTTTTATTGTGCTAAATATTAATCAGAGAAATCTTATAACATTTTTTCGATACCACATTGTTCCACTATTATCACGATTTTCAGGGTAAATTCTAAGAGAAAATTCTCTGTGTATTATTTATTATTTAATAAAAAGACTTAGAATTTTTATCGTGAAGATTAAATTACTAAACCACTTTATACTTTATAATTCTACGTAAAATCATCTTATTTTTTAGCTTTGATTAATACTTATTATCTAATAAAATAGTTATAATTTTTTCAATATTTTTTTGTTGAAAATTAGATAGCAAAGCTTAACTTTTTGCCGGTGTAAAAATTCACATCATCAAATTCTTGTATGCAAATGTAAGAAAAATGCGCTAAAATCCACCAAGTGAAAAGGAGTGAGAAAAGATGCTGGCCAATAAATAACGTCGGCTCAACGCAAAACGTTCGGATCTGAAAACGACGCTTGCGTCGTCCCTTGAAAGCCTAAGACGGCTTAAGGCGATTTATACGACGACGTCGAGACCAGCTCTTTCCCAATGACAAAAAAGCTCTTTGCAATTTCGGATACTTTCGTCGATTGAAAGCCAAGTTTCATTAAAACAAGAGCGCGTTTCAAAAATGTGTATACTTCACGAATTTAAATTAAAAAATTTCTCGATTTGTTCAAACTTCGGTAAAGTCATTTTAATTTACAGAGATATGCGTGGAATTTTTATCTCATGGTGTTTTTTTTGTTGGAAACTCTGTTGTTGGGAAAACAACAATCTCTTTCGATCGTATTCGACGAACAATATGTGTATCCTTTTTAATTAATTTATTCCAATTACAATCGGAGAAAACGCGTGCGTGCAAAAAACGCACTTCGAAATGTGCGTCGAAAGTAAATTTGCGCGAAAATTTCACTTGACGGTTCGTGTAACAATTTTCTTTCGATCTCTTTTTCTTTTTATTTTTATTGAGCAATTAAGATCTTGTTTACGAGGACAATAAGAATAAATAAGGATAAATTCAAACATTTATAAGAATATAATTTAATTTTGTGCAAGACTATTTTAGATTTAAAAATTTTAGACTTTAATTATGTTTTAGAATTTCTACCAAACAATAAAAATATTTTTAATGTTCTCGTAAAACAAATCTAAAATCCTGGCACATGTCATAAATCAGAAATATAAATCGCGCAAAATAAGAGGGCGTAGAGTGTTAGATAAATTATTTTATATCAGTATATAGACTAGAATATTTATTGTTCCTTGCAGCGTGCTTTAAAGCAACGCTACAGGGCGATTCCTTTCACTCTTGCGATAACTAGAGCCAGTTTGATTTTTCTATCAAATTAGATTTATTGATGTCGCGTATAATCGTATTGATTAGAATATATTCGCATGCATAATCAATGACGCATGTTCACAATCGGTTAAGTGAATTACAAAGAAATAAGCTGTAAGTTACACCCTTGGCATTTAACACGGCATATCTTTCGCGATACGTGTTTTATAAAACGTAACTCTGAATCGTTCAACTATAACTTATGAAAGAATTATCTACACTCTACAATAAATCATTTAAAAATCTATATAAAATATATATAATTATATTAATAATAATATTGTAAAAAATATATATTTAAAAAAATATCAACACTGAAAAAAATTATGACTAATTTTTGACTAAATTAATCAATATTTATTTGTTGTGAAAAGGATTTTTCTTATATAAAATATTTTTCACATCAAATCAATATTATTAGTTTCAAATAAATAATTCCTTTGGCAGTATTGAAATAAATACTTATTTAAATTCAATTTTTTTTTTCAGTGAATTTATTCTTGTTCAAGGACCTACATAACTTTCAAAATATAAAAATTAAAAAATATTTAAAAAATTAAAAAATAAATAATTTAAAAATTTCTAAATTTAAAAAAAATTCAAAATTATAAAAATTAAATAATTTAAAAATTTCTAAATTATAAAAATAAAAATTAAATAATATAAAAATTGAAAAACAAACAATTAAAAAATTTAAAATTGAAAGAGTTAGCTTTTCTATTTCTATTGTCAGCTTTGGCTTAACGACAAACTGCATTCCTATTTTTATCCGAATTAGAAGTGTCTGTAGAGATTTACATTACGCAATTTCCGCGTGTCGAGATCGTTTGCGACACGGTTAATTGTAATAATACGCGGGATCCGGCGCTGGCGCTTTCTTCTTCGGCTGATTGACACGCGCGACGCCGCCGCCTAAAATGAATAATGACCCGGAGAGAGCGTTTATACGGATGCAATTGCACCGGCAAAGCGAGCAATAATCTCGAGGATCCTCTACGCGCCTACGCACAGAGAGAGAAATTTCATTTCGCGTGGTATATACGATTCGTATTGCCTCTCACAGATTTATTGTAGTGAATATAGCGGCACGTTTGCCCAGAAAATTCCTGTAGCGAGAGGGAAGATTGATTTTGTTATGGACTTCCTGCATATCTGGATGGCGCCAGCTATATTAAACATTTTTACGTTTGACAGACGAGGAATGCGTATTATTTTCGACGGAAGAAAAATTCTTGCCGCGTGTGTTGGAAACTTTGCTCCGAAATGTCAGAAATTTATAGAAAAGAGCACGATGAGAGGATATCGAATTTCTTGTTCCAGTAGGGGTCTTTTGTTGAGCACAGTGTAATTAACATATTTTTACGACGGTGCTGCCCGGGGAAACATTGTTAAAAGCACGTTTTTTTTACTGCTTTCGAAAATAGGTGTCCAAGCACGTTTTAGAGATTCGTCATCCATTCACATAAAGAATATCAATGAATTTCGAGGAATCTGCACT